TTAAGCATCCAGGTCTTGGTTTCTTTTCTTTTTTTTTTTTTAATTTTTTTAATGTTTATTTATTTTTGAGACAGAGAGAGGCAGAGCATGAATGGGGGAGGGTCAGAGAGAGAGAGAGAGACACAGAATCAGAAGCAGGCTCCACGCTCTGACACGTCCGCACGGAGCCCGACGCGGGGTTCGAACTCACGAACCGCGAGATCATGACCTGAGCCGAAGTCAGACGCTTAATCAACTGAACCACCCAGTCACCCCAACTCTTGGTTTCGACTCAGGTCATGATCTCACAGTCTGTGGGTTCGAGCTGACAGCTCAGAGCCTGCTTGGGATCTTCTCTCCCTCTCTCTGCTCCTCTTCCATTTGCACTATCTCTCTCTCAAAATAAGTAATAATAACAATAGTAATAAATAGAAATAAAGATCTCTGGGTATCACCGAGTTTGGGGAACACAGAAACACAGATGCAGTGAAGGATGATGGAATTTGCTGACCTTCTTTTCCAAGGGCAGGAGTCACTTGTGGCCCCAAACCGACCACATCGCCAGGGAGTAGAACTAGCCCAGTAAGGGCAAAGAGCTGCCCACTCGGGTGGCTCTGGTTAGGGCCTGGGTCCAGCTCACCCCATTCCTGAGTGCCGGGCTCACTGGCTTTGCCCACCTGGCTGTCTGCCTCTGCAGATAGGACACCTGCTAACAGCCCCGTCTGTTTCCCGGCAGTCTTGCTTTCTGATGCCCACTCCATGAGGGACGCACACTTGGGATCCACTTCCCCTGCCTGGGAGTGCAGCCCAGGACCCACCAGGGAGCGTGTTGCCATGACGATCGTGGCATACTGCTCCCCAGCCCCCTTCTGCCACTGCAAAAGCCCCGTGAAAAATCAGCATTCACGGGGCTTTCTAGGCTGCCTGGACTTCTCCACAGGAGGGGGATGTGAGCGATTTTCCCCCTCTGTGCTTTGGGAAGATGGGGAGGTGGGGCGAAGAGAGAAGCTTAGCAGCCTCAAACAAAACCAAAATTTTCCTAATCTACACTAAAGAAATCTACTCCCTTACAGCAAGGATTATCAACTGTAATTGTTGTCATGATGCTTGTCAAGAGGGAAGGAGAGGGAGCCATTTCTTTAAAAATCGTTTAATGTTTATTTATTTTTGAGAGAGAGACAGAGTGCAAGTGGGGGAGACACAGAATCCGAAGCGGGTTCCGGGCTCCGAGCTGTCGGCACAGAGCCCGACGCGGGGCTCGAACTCATGAGCTGTGAGATCGTGACCTGAGCCGAAGTCGGATGCTCAACCCACTGAGTCACCCTGACGCCCCGTGAAGCCATTTCTTTAGGTGGAGGAGGAGGGCAGGGACAAGGAGAGAGGAGGGGAAGCGTGGGGGCAGCACCAAAGGGTGATTCTTGGAGAGAAAACAGCAGGTGAAGAAAGAGGGTGAGATCGCCCTGCGTGGAGCAGGGGTGGGTAGCCTGATAAAGAAGTCAGGGAAGGCAGCCAGGAGGAGGAAATGGATCCAGGGAAGAAAAGGCTGACGAGGGAGAGAGTACAAGTTACCCACTGTCATGGAAAGAAGTGACTGCAAAATGTAGTGACTTCACACAACACTAAGTATAATCTCACAGTTTCTGCAGGTCAGGGATTCAGGAGCAGGTGCTCTTGGCGTAGGGTCACTCATGAGGTTGCAGGCAAGGCGTCAGCAGGACCCGTATCATCTGAAGGCTTGACCGGGGCTGGAGGACCCATTTCCGAGGTGGCTCCGTCATGTGGCTGGTGAGCCCATAGAGGCTGTTGCCAGGAGGACTGCGTTCCTCAACATGTGGTGCCTTCCATCAGGCAGCTTGGGCGTCCCCAGGACATCGCAGCTGGTCTCCCCCAGAGGGAGTGATCCATGAGCCCGTAAGAGAGAGCTGCTCTGTCTTTAATGACCTGGCTTCAGAAGTTACCCATCTCAGGTCTACAATATCTTCTTGGTTGTGCAGTCAGCCCTGCATGGGGCTAGGAGGGACTTTATGTATTTGCTTTATGATTTTTTTTAATTTTTTTATGTTTATTTGTTTTTGAGACAATGCGAGACACAGAGTGCAAGCAGCAGAGGGTCAGGCAGAGGGAGACACAGAATCCCAAACAGGCTCCAGGCTCTGAGCTGTCAGCCCAGAGCCAGACGCGGGGCTCAAACCCGCGAACCAGGAGATCATGACCTGAGCCAAAGTCGGACGCTTAACCAACTGAGCCACCTAGGCGCCCCTGCTTTATGATTTTTAAAAAATGTTTATTTATTTTCGAGAGAGACAGACAGAACATGAGCAGGGGAGGGGCAGAGAGAAAGAGAGAGACAGACACACACACAGAATCAGAAGCAGGTTCCAGGCTCTGAGCTGTCAGTGCAGAGCCCGACTCAGGGCTCCAGCTCATAAACCGTGAGATCAGGACCTGAGCCAAAGTCGGACGCTTAACTGACTGAGCCACGCAGGCGCCCCTACAGAACACTTAAAAAAAAAAAGGGGAGAAGAAGGAGAAGGAGAAGGAGAAGGAGAAGGAGAAGAAGAAGAAGAAGAAGAAGAAGAAGAAGAAGAAGAAGAAGAAGGAAGAAAGGAAACAATAATGTATTGATTCAGATAAATGAAGGGTGCAGGGTGTGAAGCTTCAGGTAAGGCTGGATCCAGGGTCTCAAACAATATTGTGACATCTCTCTCTGTCTTGACTCTTTCTTCTGATTTGGTGTAACTCTGGGGGAGCTTTACTCTCATAAAGCTCTCTGGTTACCCTGGCATGCAGAAGCACCAGTCTTACTGACTACCGGGTACAGCCTGGGTGCAGATAATCATTTTTCCAGCATTTGATCTAAAAGTTCAGAGCCTGACTCTCTCTCTGACCCCTCCCTTCAACATTTACTGTGGCCAAGGAGATACGCTGATTTGCTTCACCCATGATGTATGGCCACCCCTAGGAACGATGGGGGGTGGCTGGCTCAACTCCGTGCAACAATTCTGAACAAGTTTTACCAAAGGGATACCGGAGCCAGAAAAAGAAAGATGACGCTGGGCAGGTAGAAAACTACAGCAGTCCACCAGCCCCAGGCCAGCATTCCACTGACCTCAGGGACAGCGGTCCTCTTGGGGCCTTGGGGTGCCACCACCAATTAGATCAATGCCGAGGGACAGAGGTAAAGGGGGTCCATGTGACCGCTCACTTAGGTGCGGTCAGAGGCTTGGTTTGCCCCCAGGCGTGGCTGGTGGACCCTCGGATCATAGGCTGGCGATCTAAGCTTAGAGCTTTTGGAATGAAAATAAAAAGTAGGATTTCGCTTTCAGATTACTTTTCTCAGTAGCAGAAACAACGTATGTACTGAAAGAGAGAATCTATTCATCTAGCGGGGATTTTCCATCAGATAGGTTTGACGCGCTGCCCATAGGCGTGATGGCTTGTGACAAAACGATGTTTAAACAGGGGGGGGCGGGGCGGGGG